ATTGATTTTGCTGATTTAAGAAAAATTATTTTTAAAATAAATTTTAGTAATAAAATAAAGAAAAATAATATATGTAAAAATAGCTAAAATGATCGTCTACAGTAACTTCAACCGATACAGCTAGAAAAGTAAACTCCAACCTTACTTTTTCTGCTTATTACGCAATTCAGGGCACGAAAGTAAAAGTTACGTGTTTAGTGAAAAAGTTGGCTGGTAAGCTTGATAAGGCGAAAAGCAATATTGCCAAACGACCTCTTAAAGTGGTTTCATCAGTTAATTCTGTTTATTTATGAAAAGTTATATTTAAAATACTTTTATTAACAAAAAAATTATATGAAAAATGGATTAAATGATCATCTATAGTATTGATAAGTCTGATAAATCGAAAAACAGAGTCGCCAAACGGGCTCTATAGGCAGTTATAAAGTGTTTACAGGAATTATACGTACTTTCAAGGAAGAATATTATGAAATTTATAAATTTATACTTTTATGAAAATATTTTTAAATAGAGAACATTTTCATATGATTTTTATCTTTAAATAACTTCCAGTAAAATATATGGTTGGTCAAAGTTTTAAAAATGACAAAGTTTTTTTGGAAGGAAGTAGTACGTTGCCAAAATAGGGATTTCGGTGAGTGACTTATTATGACATAGGCTATGTTTGGAAAACGGTCTGGAGCTGGAATCTATTGTCTGAATGAGGAACTATTGTCTAGAGCTGAATTTTGAAATGTTGGATCTGAATTGTTAGCTGAATGAAGTAGACCCATTTGGCAAAAAGAAATTGAATGATGGCCGAATAATATGAAATTACATTAAAGGACATACAATTTATAAAATATAATAACATATTTATTATAATGATATTTTGTATTTTTATAATTATTAGAATATACTACGTACTACGTACGTATGATTAAATAATTTTTTTTGTAACTGGGAGGCTTATATTGATAAAAGAACACTCAGCAAGGGACAATAATGATAAAGTAAACACTTCTGACCACCGACCCTCGAACCAGCTGGAGAATCAATCACCTTAAAAAAAGCAATATGATTCGCTGATCCTATCATGGGTTTACATGAGCCAAACGTGGCCAGAGTAAAAACCTCATCACCCCCGTCAAGTGTAAAAGTCTGGAAGAACAAAATCACAGTAATTGAAAGGAAAGCGTACTCAGAAAATAAAGTAAACTCAAAGATAAGCCAAACGTGGAAATTATAAAGTAGTCTGAAGCAACGGAACGAGCACCAGCACCCCTTCCCGGTTGCAACCTTCTTCAAGGAATGTGGCGGGTCAAGGCGTCTAGACCCGCCCCCTCCCCGTTTTTTGGGTCCAGCACCATAGTCTCGCCTCCTTCTCCTGCTTCGCCTGCTTCTTCCCAGGTCCGTCTGCGCTTTGGGTCTCCACTCTTGTCCTCCAAAGCTGCTGCATCCGTGTTCCCTCCTCCGGCCTTCGAGGCGCTTGCTGAAAGTATCCCCCAATTTTTCCTGCCTTGATCCGAACTGCCTCCCTCCTTGCGGGCTGCCCTGCTTTCCTCCCCCGGTCCGTCTGAGATGATCCACTTGTTTCCTCTCTCCATTCGTGCCTTTCCTCCCCCTCCTGCTCGTAGATGGGCCCTATACGGTCTGATAGTGCCCGTAACATCCTTCTCATACATTAGGGGACAAAACCTGTCAGAGTGCCCTATAATAACACAAGAAAAGCAGAAACTATGTAGCTTCTCATATTTAAAATCCACCCAATATCCTTCGCCCTGCCCCTTCCTGAGCGTGGTCCCAATCTTCAGAGGTTTGCCCACATCCAAGCAAGCCCTAACTCTCATATATGGCTTCCCATATCGGGGTTTTTCCCAGTTAATAAATTTTCCAACAAAATTTCCAATTCTCCTAGCCACACCCAGATTCATAAAATCATAAGGAATATCATGGACCTGTACCCAGAATTCGGCCTCACTTAGAGGAACACGGAGTGGGACATCCCCGGGCTGTAACGCCCGAAGAACTAGCAAATTCTGTTCAAAAATCCACGGTCCATCTTCAAGCACACGTTTCATGTCTTTAGGATGATAAAAAGTACACATATACCTTTTCTCGTCGATTTCTTTAATGGAGATACCCTTACCAGGCATCCAAAGTGAGGCCATGAGATTGCGAAGTGCCGAGAAGTTCACCATCTTGTTGGTGATCACTGTCCCTACCACCGCATACACTTCCTGCTTGCCCAAGTCATCCTCCCCTTCAAAGCCTCCTCCTCAAAAACCAATTCTTCTTCCTGATTCCCAATCACCATGTCCTTGCATTTGTTAGCAATCTCTTCCATTTTCTACCAAAAAAGTGGCCGAAAACCACCCGCCCCCTGTTCTCGAAGCTAAAGCCGAAGCCAAGCCAAAAGGCAAAACAAAAGAAAAGCCGTACGCTCAATACCAGGCCAATACCTTTCTCGGCCTAAACAGCAAAAACGAACCAGAACGATCATCCTTCCACGATCGAGAAGAAGAAATCGCCGCCGAGAAACCCCAACCCTAATTACCTAGGGAGACGTCCGCATTAACGTCTTTACGTATGATTAAATAAAATAAATTACTATAATGTTTTGATAAATATGATGGTAGAATACACACACATCAATAATCTAAAAATCGAGTTAGGCACACACCACTGATTTTTTTAAACTGTTAAATATTACTCCCTCCGTATTTAAAAGTTCCCTACAATTCTATTTTTGGTAAGTTTATCCTTTATAAAATACTCAACTAATCTTACTTTATCTACTTTTTATCTTCTTTTTCATACTTTTACACACTCTCTCCTACTTTTTCTACACTATTCACTACTCTTACTATTCTATCCTAAAATATTGTACCAAAAGCAAATGTAGGGAACATACAAATACGGAGGGAGTATGAATATCATCAAATGAGTATAAAATATTGAATTAAATCATACCAAAAACAAGAGGATTCCTCTTGTCATAAAAGCATCAAGAAATTTTATTCTGAGTATCCAAACACTCCATCAAATGAGTTTAATTTTGTGATGTGATTACTTTTTCTCTTGGGTTAAAAAATTCACACTTTAAAAGAAGAAATTTGCAGGGAAGTATTGAAGTAGAAACCATCAAATGAGATATGGTAATGATAAGTTTTATCGCAATTAGGAATATGAGTTGTGGACTGAGATTATAATTGCACGGAAGACACTAGACCAGAAGAAATCGGTGATAATTTAGGGATTGCAAGTTGTTGTGCAGAAGGCTGAATAGAAACGTTTCTTATAATAGCGTTTTGATTCAGATCAGCCAAAGCTTTGTTCAGCCCTCTGTCTAAACGATTCTATTTGTACAATAATGAACTGAATTTCAGAAATTTCAGCTCTTGACCTTTTTAGACAACTTAAATATAGGTCTATGTCAAACATTAAAATTACAACGTGTTATGTAAACATAGATTTTTTTAACATTTTAACGATGTGCTATATATGCAGATTTTGTGTTTGTGTGTATTACTGGACATTTTAAACTAACTACATAAACTATGTAAAATGCAGAAAACATGAATTGCGAGAATGACAATGAGCAACGAATTCGTCACACTTATGTGAAACAACATTGTTGCACACATGGTAAAGTCAACATTGCATCCATGAAACAACCACCGGCTAAGTTGTGTGATTTCATTCACGGCATATGTCAAAAGAGCAAACTTTTCCTAAAAAATATGATGTCTTATAACAAACATGTATGCTTTCACTTCCATCAGAGGGAGAATAGAGAATAATTTGGAAGATGTCCTGTTTTCGAGGAAAAGTTTGCTCTTTTAAGATGTCCTCTTATCTTAATGGGACCAATTGTATATTTATGATACTTAAAATAAGATAGATACTAAAATTCCATCTGTTAGGTATTTTGTTTATGATTTACATCACGAGAGCATGTTGGTTTACATATAGTTTATAATTACATTACAAATATTGTCTTCAAAGAAGATTTTCAAAATTTGTAAAGCTAATGTTTGTTATTCAACTTATTTGTTTTAATTGATGCAACAATGTGCTTTGAGAATGTTTATTTAATTATATGTATTTAAGCTTTTTGCCGTGCATCGCACGGGTGAGCTACTAACTAAAACATAAAGACATAAAAAGAACAAAACAATTAACTAAATGCAGATTATGCAACACCCCCAGAAAGATGAGGAAGTTCAGTCCAAACGCAGTGAACTATTCCTCTTGTGTTGTAATAATTCTCACTTGAAAAACTCTTGGGAAAGTTGTGCCACTTCTTCGATGCAAGGCAATAAAACAACCCTTTACCGTCATAAAACCTCGGAAAGAAGATCTTGTTTCCTGTCCCGCTAACAGTTGTTTTCCGTGATATGCATGTCCTGTGAGAAACATAAAATGATTTCCCATTTAGATTCTCTATCGTCCGCCAAATCTTATTATAATCATCGAACCTCAACACCCGAACTTCACCGCCCTCAAGAGTAGCAACACATATTAAATTGCCGTCACTCTCCAAGAGAAACCGATCTTGAAATTTTAAAAACTGTTTTTGATTATGCTTGCCAATGATCTTCCAGTTACACAGTTCCTCCATCCCCTTGGACGTAAGCCAAAACTTTCCTAGATTTCCAGATTCCCCTAGAACATAAATGAATCCATTGCGCACAACAGGGGAGCAATTGGAACCAAAAAAAATGTCTCCTACACTCTCAGGGTAATACATTGACCAACGTGTCTCACCCAATTGTAACGTTGCAATTAAAGTGATAGATGTATGGCAGCTATAAATGCCATATACTTTACAGCAGGCAGATGTTGGGGATCCAGAAAAACATGCCCACTCCAACGGTTCGAGCGTGTCAGGGAGGTCTATTTTAACCTTGGTTGACGGGTTATAGAAAAAATATGACTCCCTACCTTTACCAAGAAGCAACCAGCCATGACTTGCGTAAAAAAGTTCAACTTCACCAATTTCATCATCCAACAAGGGAGGAATGCTAAGTGAATAAGTGGCATTACGTGTTGGATCATGGAAGTTGAAGAAGCCGGTTTTGCTGGTGAAGTACATGAGATATGGGTCATGGTATGAGTCCTTATCATGCGGGCAGTGATCAAGTAATGACAGTGATGACGGAAGAGGATGCAGAGTTGCTGCTTTCCATGATTTACATACCGACTTGAAAGTAAGATAGTCTCCAATGGCTAACCGTGAGAGTATGGAAGACAAGAGGTCCTCACACAGATCCGACCACTCCCTCTGTTTGTCATCATCAGCTTCTTCATCCTTATTGCTAATTCTGTTGCTGCTAATCATCATCATTATCTTTCACTTTACTCGACTTCTATGATCTCTTCCTACATCCGACAAAGTAATTCCCTGCAAAAAACAAAAGCAGCGGGTGGGTAAAAAGAATTTATCTCCCAACTGATATTAAATTGAAAGGGTTTTGGCTATGGCCATTATTTCCCGTTATCTATCAAAGAGTTTTTTCAGCCTAGGCCGTCTAGTTCATAAAAAAAAACTTAAGTATAACCTACATAAACAAAATCATGAGTAAATAAATAACAAGGCCAATAATTCGACTATGACTTTAATTTTAGGGAAAACTGTCAAATTGGCCCTCGAAGTATACCCAAAAAGTCAATTAAGCCCTCCAACAAAACAAACACCCAATTAAACCCATGAACTATGTATCATTTCATTTCATTTTCATTTACCCCAGTGACGCAAAGGCTCCCACCTACGGTGGGGTAAGGGGGGGTCGGATGTACGCAGTCTTACCCCTGTACTAAAGCACAAAGAGACTGTTTCCGGATGACCCATAGTGAAAATCGCATCCAAAATTGCATGGACTGCTGCTTCATAACAAAGAAGTGCAGACAGTTTAATGAGCCATTTTGCTTTATTCCATCATATTCTCAAGCCAAAAAATAATGAATCTTTGGCTCCATTGCAAATGATGGAAAGAACTATGTATAAACTCTCAAATTTAAAATTTAGAGGATTGCCTGCCGGTTAGCCTGTCATTTGCTTATGAGGCAATGAACGTGGCTTATTTTTATATTATCCTTTTTTTTAGTTTTCTTCTTCCTTTTTACTACTTCTTTCTTCTTCCACTCAAGCGACCGGCCAGCTTCTTTCTTCGTCGAGGCCAGATACGACCAGCCAGCCACCCACATCCTGACATCCTTCCTGCCACCTATTTTAGACGCAGTAAGAAAACATCACCGGCCGACCTTCACGAGCTCATCATCTGGGTCTCCCATTTTTTGCAGTAAGAATAACTTATCACGACATGGTGGTGGTGAAGCAGTCTGGAGATATGCTAGGAGATTTCCGGTCAACAAGGTTGGCCGGAGTCTTGGATAAATTTTGAGGATGGTCAACATAAGAGAAAGCAGGAAGGGGAAGGTGGGGCTGGCTGAAGAAGAAGAAGAAGAAGAATGAAGGGGGGTGTGTGGTGGGCTGAAGAATTAGAATTTACTAATAGTATTATGCCGAATTAGATGAATACATGAACGAATACTATTTTAAGAGACATACAATGACTAGCTTCACGCTGAACCAAACACATTCTTCTCACTGTAACGGGTAGTGACTATTACAGTGACTACATAATCTTGACTCGTAAAAGTGACTTTGTAACCTGTAATCGTGACTAACTCACTTAAGTTAATACATACTCCGTATAATTAGGAAAATTGTACCTGGGACCTATGTAGTCAACTCGCTACTTGGTAGTAACTCGGTCAAGGACCGAGTAGGACCGATTACTCGGGATTACTCAGCCTTGTATTAATTAGATGTCATAGCATAAGTGCCCGAGATTATAGAAATATAATAGTGTTAAAATTATCTTAAAATGCATTGAAATGAATAAAATGATAGAAATGCTAATGATGGAGTGGCAAAAAGTCATAAACATTCTAAGTCTTCAAGAAAATCAACCATCTAATAATATGGTAATAGCTCTGTTCACTCCCCATGTCCATCCTATATCATCTTATTTTCTCTTAAATGTAGTATTAGTATATTCAGCACCATTAGAAGCCTCAGCAGACTGAGCAGAGTTCATGAAAGTCAATTAGATGATGCATGACAGTGTGTATCAGTGTATCAATCAATGATGTGCCATAGTTAACAATCAATATAGTGATATTAATTAAAAATTACGTAGTATAATATATATAGTCATACTAGTGAAAAGAATTTATTTATATCAAAATATATATGTGTTTCAATATTAAACAATCAAGATGGTGATATTTTAAGAATGCTGAAAAGAACATATGGCGAAGAAGGATGGGAGGGTGGAAGAAGAAGAAGAAACGAGAGAGGGGGGAGGGGAAGATGCGAGAAAGAAGATGAAAACTTATTGAGAAATCGTAGTCACAGCTCCAGGGGGGTAGTAGATGTCAAAAACTCCATTTAACCTAGGTTTTGTAACTTAAATTTTCAATTTTATAAGGGGGGGACCGAGTTAGACCGAGTACTTGCCGAGTTGAAAACTTCACCGAGTTGAGAAACTCGGCGAGTACTCGGAAATAAAACACGGACCGAGTTAGGTAGCTACTCGACAAGGCCAGTACCCGAGTTGCGAGTACTCGCCGAGTACTCACCCAGTAGATAACCCAGCCTGGGGCTTGGTTTCAGTGTCTGAAAAAGTGCAACAGTACTGAATCTATATCAAACAACTGACCCAAACTGACTAATTTGTTAGACCCCCCAGATTAAGAAGAGCTCCCAGGATAGGGAGGAACATTGCATTGCACACAAGGGATAGGTGTTTGGCTATTGTGCTTATTCTAGTTTTAAATTTAGAATTTACTAATAGTATTATGCCGAATTAGATGAATACATGAACTAATACTATTTTAGTGCCAGAACAAATCTTTTAAACTGTATTTTTCTGCCTGGTAAATATGCTCTTCCTAGCAAGCTACCCATTGTTTGTTTGACATCCTCAATCAATTTGAATTATTTTCAGAAAAAATGACCAATTCCACATGTTGTCAAATTGAACTATCGCTTTATGATCTTGTGCGATTAGAGGCGTGTGGCGTTAAACCCCATATGAAAAACTGCAATTTTTTGCCTGAGGCGTACACAATAGAGGGTGAGCGATGAATTAATAGTAATAATTTCAATAATTGAAAAAACTTACCCCAATCCTCTCGTATCTGCTATTCGCCGAGGCTCCACTGTAATCGCCTACCACTCCCAATCTCCCGCGATATGGATCTCAAGGTATCGCAGGTTAGGTCGGGAAGGTTTATTTCCTCGGTTTCGATTAGGAAATAATTTCCAATTTCTTTTAGGTTGTATACGAATAGAAGTGAGTCGAATAATATTTAATTAATTTTTTCGAATGCGAATTCGAATTCAAATATGAAACGAATATTAATTTTGATTTGTATTTGTATTTGTTTAATAATACGAATAGTTAACGAATCTTATACGAATATCGAATAGATTTGAACATAGGTCAAATATTAGTCAAATATCACTTTAAAATAATTTTTCTTATATTTTTTTATGTTGTAAATGTACGCTATGTCTTAATATGTGTTTTTAGAATTTAAATTGTGCATGATATACTAAAGTGAATCAATTTTATGATTAACAAATATAAATCTATTTCAAACTTTTAGAAATAAACACAACACACGTATTAGAAATTATACTTACAATGTGTGAAATAAGTTGATAATTGTATATATCAAAGTCAGACATCTCTAATTTTATTCTTCGAATCGAATACATAATTATTTGTATTGTATTTGAAAGACATTTGAACCAAAAATCTGATTTGTATTCGTATTTATATTTTGATTTATTACAAATGGACTTGGGATTTGTATGCATAAATGTATATATGAACTACACTTTAAGGTATTGGTAGCTTTTAAAAGTTATTATAGTGTTATTACTATTATTATTAATATTAATATTAATATTAATATTAATATTAATATTAATATTATCACTATTATTAATCGAATATATTTGATTAATATTCGAATCGAATACAATAATATTCTTATTTGAATTTGATAACAACTCGAATCAAATTTAATATTCATATTTGTATTTGTATTTGAATTTTCCGAATTCGAATCATATTATATGAATTCAAATCGCGAATCGAGCACAAATTATTTGATTCGTTTATAACCTCGATTTCTTCTACTCCGTAAATTATACTCCCACTGTTGGATAATTGATACCCATAACCTATAACTAAGAGAAATTGAACAAGAATGTAGGAGAAGGAATGATGAAGAAGAAGGAAATGTGTATAGAATGAATCTTTGTTATATGAGTTACAAGCCTCCTATAAGGAGTATATATAGGGAAAATCCGGGTTTGGGCCTCTAATATGGGCCTGACAGACCCGGTTACATAAATGGACTGATAGTATAAAAAGCTAATTTAGAACATCTGAATAATAATAATAATGTACAATAATATTAATGATATCTGCTAAACGTGTGTGAGCCGCTGTCCAGGCCTAGTAGTCGGCATACCGGGGGGTCGGAGTCCATATAATCCATCAGGAGTCCCCCACTCCCTGAGTCGAGAGTACTCGAGGCGAAAGGGAGTAGTCCAAACTGTATCTGCAACGTTCTTCCTCTTCGGCCGGGGGACCACCACCCTTGTCCATTATGGGGAGGTGCCTCGTTAAAAACCTTTACTAGGAAAAACCCAGTGGGAAAAAATCCTAATAAAGGGAAAAAGAGTACACCTAGCGCCCCCAACATGAAACAAGGAAGGTAAATCCTCTCTGCCATAATCAATTTAGCTCAGCTCCTCTTCAACTGACTCAGCTCTCGTTCCTGCTCTTGCGTGATGTTTTCTGCTCATCTAGAAACTCTGACCCCTCAGTCCCCCAGTCCCCATTCTTTGAGCCGAGTGGAGACGAGGTGAAAATGAGTAAAGTCATCTTTGTACCTACACATTTATCATACATATACAATTTTTTTCTTGGGATTTATGTTCCCGATCGGGAGTTCGTCACTTGAAACAAGTGGAGATGTGAATTGTTAATGTAATGATAAAATACTTAGTAGAATGGATGTGTGAGCCATTCGTAAGCAACGGTCGCCACTCGAGGAATGACTAAGACCGGTCTTCGTACCCGACTTGGTCGGGGTTTTGTCTTCATGCCCGACTTGGTCAGGGCTTTGTGCCTGAGGAGACAGGGCTTTGTGCCTGAGTAGTCAAGGCTTTAAATCCTAGTGATGGGTCTCAAGCCACACTCTACTAGGTATTTGATCATAAGTGCGTGATAGTGTGACATCTAACAGAAAAAAGAAATTATTTAAATAAATATAAATAATAGAAAATTGAAGAATACTCATCTTTTTGAAGTGGGCTGGGCCAAATACTTCATGTGTTGAAATCTAGTCCTTTGAAAGAACTTGCCCAACAAAATGATCCGGCCCATTATTATTAATGAGAGTCAATCTTGGGCTTGATGAAGTCTTGGTCCGTATAGATTTTTGACTCCATGTTAGAGGCCCAATTGTCCAAGTTAGATGCATTTGCAGCCAGCCCTTCAAGACCTAGGATATGTGGAGCCGCAGAGGAAGCGAATAAAAAACAAACGAATCTCCAATCAGCCGGAGATGCTCTCAGCCACCGGGAAGCTGAAACGGGGCTTGACACAGTGGTGGAACGCCTAGAGCGAGGCAGGCGACGCCGTGGTGGAGGTGGCGGATTCCGTACCAGAAGTTCGTACCTCGCCGCTGGCCGCTGTCTGGTGGGTCTCGGTTTCTGGTCTGACAGAGGACCTCGCGGGTGGTGTCGCCGGTTGTCCCCACGAGCTTCAGAGCGCCATTAATGGCGGCAATGGCGAGGTCTCCAATCGGCCAGATCTCAAAGGCAACCTTGAGTCTTTGACGAACTGGTAGAGCGTGACTGGGTGCTCTGAGAGACTGGTTCCGGAGCTGTGACTGCGGTGGTTGAGGAGAGGAGGCAGGCTTCGAGCGTCGTTCGGTGGCTCTGTAACAGAGGCGGAAGAATATATCTGCAAGCAACGGCTCTGCAGCGGCGAGATCCAGTAGCGGCGGCGGACCAGCTTCAGCTTACTATGGACGGCGGCGACCAAGATCTGGAAATGGGTGGCGAGCTCCAGCGGGCGGAAAACTTCTGCTATGGCGCGTGACGGCGGCCGGAGTGGTGATGACATCTCCGGTCAGGTCTGGGATGGGAGTAGGTGACTTCCTACAAGCAGCTAGTCTCAGCTAATGATGCACGGAGGCGGCGCGGTCGTCAGCTCCGGCTGCTGCAGCAGAAATTTGGGAAATGTCAGATTCTTCGTTTCCGATCCGTTCTTGCTGGCATTTTTCTTTTTTTCTTTATTTTCCAGAACAGTTTCTTGCTGATTCTTTGTGGTTTGGGTAAATTTTTTGGATAATTTGGGAAGTCTACCCGGGTATCTTATCCGAGGGGTTATTGCGGGAATAACTAGAGAGAAGTCAGAGCATAATAGGAGGAGAGAGAGTCGATTTATTAAATGAACTCAGCCTGTCTTACAAGGAGAGTTGGGGCTGCTATTTATAGCAGCAATAAATGCGATGAGAGTACACGTGTCAGTAATACAACGGCCGAAGGGTCACATCAATCGGGTGGCACTGACAGTGGCATGTTCACTGTATTGAATGCGGTGGGTGGATGTGACGTCGCATTAAATGCGGTGGTTGGCTGTCTCCAAAGGGAATCTTCGACGATTGGGTTGTTAGCCGAAGGCTCCTCGTGGGGTCGAGGGCTTCGTCTGACCGAGGGCCTCGTGTAGCCGAAGGCCCTGTGTAACCGAAGGCTTCCCGAATGCCGAGGGCTCATACTGCCGAGGGCTCCTGTTTCTGCCGTTTTTTCCCAGTGGCTTTGTTTGCTCGAAATTGGCTGCTTCATGTGATTTGGAGCCTTCGGCCAAGGAGGCCGAAGGCACCTCAGTGTGTATCCTGGGCCTGAGATATCCCCTGGGCTCAATGGGCCTGTGTAGGAGGAGTAGGAGTCTATGGGCCGGGGGTTCCTGGGCCATATACTCCATCACCCACCATCCCCTTTATATCATAATTGTGTGGTGCGTTTTTGGAATAACAAATATACTATTGCCTCTATCCCCTTAATATTAGGATCAAGGAGAATGGTGTGATTTTTAAGAAAAATAGAGTTATGTGGTTGATAATGAATTTTATAAAATTGAAATAAACTAAGAATTATTTAGAGACACAGATATTAATAAATACGGTATAAGACAAATTTAATGAGAGATGATAAAAAAATATGCGACCATTATAATGGTACTAAAGGAGTAAGAAGTTGTTCTCTTCACCTGATCTGAATGTTTTTTATCTGAATTTTTTAAATTTTGATCTGATTTGAATCTTTCTGATCTGGTCTGAATCTTTCTGATCTGTTCTGATCTGAACTGAATGTTTCTGATAATTAAAACTATAGATACAATTATAACTGTAATTATATCTTTAATTGTAATTACTTATATAATGATAATTGTAAGTATAATTACAATATTTATTTCTATAATTACAATATTTATCTCTACAATATATGATGAGACATATTCTCCAGTAGTTGATGCTACAACATTAAGATTTTTAATTGGCATGCCAGTTTTTTAAAGTCTGCAAATGAGCCTAATGCATGTAGTGACTGCATATTTATACAATTCACTCGATACAGACATATATATGAGGATTCCCGGAGGCTTTAAAATACTTGATGCTTATAGCTCGAAATCACGAGATTTATTTTCCATATAATTGCAAAAGTCATTGTATGGATTAAAACAATCTAGACACATGTTGTATAGCCGTCTTAGTGAATATTTAATTAAAGAAGGATATAAAATTGATCCTATTAGTCCATATGTTTTTATTCGGCGATCCGAATCGGGATTCGCCATAATTGCAGTATATGTTAATGATTCAAACATTATTGGAACTCCCAATAAAATTGAAAATACTACAAAATATCTATGAAAGAATTTGAAATGAAAGACCCTGGGAGAACAAAATTTTATCTCGTCATTCAAATTGAACATTTGGAATGATATTTTTATTCACCAATCAAATTATACCAAGAAACTTTTGATTCGGTTTTACATGGATAAAGCACACCCGCTCCATTCTTCAATGTTGTTTCAATATCTCAATATGAATGATGATTTTTCCGACCTTCTGAATATGATGAATAAATCCTTGGTTGTGAAATAACATATTTGAATACTATTGAAGCATTAATGTATTTGGCTAATATAATACTCGACTAGATAT